ACCTTGAGAAATCATGATTTACAGTAAAAAAAAGGATCTTTTCACCTGACGGTTGAGTGACCATGATTAATAACATAGAGTATACCAGATAATAATTTGAAGTTATCCCTCTACACTAAAATAAAGCTTTTTTTGAAATACAATTTTGTATTGTAAAGGGTAAATCAGAGACATATATACACATATAATGTTTCTTGTAATATCAATTGATCATTACCAGATTTTACTTTTTAAATTAAAAGAAATGCAGAAAAAAAGAAAAAAATATTTTCTCAATAAATACATTAAAAAAAATACAACTATTTCAAGTAGTTTTTTAGAAAAAGAAATTATTTGATTTGAAATAAGTTTTCCTATTACTTTTCTTGATTAGCTGTCGAGGTTATTCATCCCTGACTTGTTTACATGTTGTAGAATAAATATCGACGAGAATCTCATTCTGGGCCGCGTTTTTTAACGGGATTTCACAGAGTTGTCAATCTCTGTGTATATATGTCTCTGGGTAAATTAATCAAATTAATTTATAAGTATTCATCAAAATTATGAAAATTTAAAGTAAACATATTAAATTAAGAGCACAATTATTTGATGTCACATTTTAAAATTATATACAAACCCCAATCCCTATACAAAGTTCGCTTAATATAAACAAGAGTTATCTCCCTTTGAAGAAATCAAGTATTCTTCCAATATTTATACCGAGTGAACTAGCTATATCAGGGAGGAGGTATTGGCATACTTATATGACAGTTTTATTTTGGTAACAAGTCATTCCTATTGATATGACATTTCTGGCAAAAATTCTGGTTGTGTAATATAAACAAAATAGTAGCAGAAGTCATCAAGTAACATTTGTTTTTACAGAATAAAAAGAATTATTATTCATTTTAACCTATCTTACAAATAAATGTATATGAGGGATTTTTGCACTGCTTGGCTTGTCAAAAGTTTCACTTTTAACAATGAAAAAAATGATTTCTGAGAGAACAGGTATCTGCAATAACAATGATTGATTTATTTAAAAAGAATTGTAAACTAAGTTGTACAAACTGGTATAAAAAATCTCATCCATTTTTACCTGTCGATTCAATTTTATTGTGACAAAAACACATCTTTCTTTTTTAGGTAGACAGGTGTGTAATTTGCTCCCATGCAGCTGTTCTGAGTTGATAATTAGATTTTAATCTGTATTTACATACATTTGCACTATTATATGATTATATCAAAAGATCTGTTTTGTTTTATGATGTGTTATATCAAAGTTGAAAGAAGCAGATAGTTTTTAATGAGATAATCTGTACAACAGATGGAGGTGAAAAAAAAGAAAAATTAGACTTGAGAAAAATATATCATACATATATGAGTTGACTCAGGTTTGATATACAAAAAATATGAATTTAACTGAAAGAAAATAGGCTTAATCTATTCAGTTTGCTTGATGAAAAAAAAAGAAGAAGAATTTTTACTGAAAAATAATTTCTGATTTATAAGTTCACGAAAGATTGCTTTATAATAAATTAGCTTGATTACCCATCTACTATGCTTGGCACCAGATGTTTACTCCGAGTAAAATATTTTTTATATAATTGAAAAAAGAATGAAAAGATATACTTACTTGTCAGTTTTCCTTTGAGTTTTTAGTTCTTCAATGTTGGATTGTAAAGTTTTGACCATAGCCTCCAAGGCTGTCACCTTGTCCTCAGTTGTCACATCAGTCTTCTGATGTTCTGTCACATGACCGAATGTCGTCTGCTCTTCAGTCACCTGACCACTGATGAAACAAAAAAATTGCAGCAGGCATAAAGTTGCAGGCTTTGTATACATTTTGATAGTTTTTTTTCAAGCTTGTAAAATCATAGTATTGTAACTTCATTGATCCCCAAATAATTATTTGATAGATAACCCTCCATAGCTTGGGTAACACTGTCACTATTCAATGCTAGTAATTTGACATGTGAGTAATGTTTTGATTGGAGGCTAGGATCCATTGTAATTATTAGAGGCTACACTTGGGGAAAATTATTACTGAACATTTGATTGTTACATATTTGAAATAAATATGATAATATTTTAGTAGAGAGAAATATTTAAAAAATTTAAGTAAATACAAGGTTTTGATTGTTTTGATGTGAATTTTAAAAGATTTATGTCCTTTGATCCTGAACATTACTAATTTTATTTGAAATTTTTCTCAAATACTCATCAATCTGCTCATAAAGGTAATAAAAAGGCAAAATTTTGAGAACTGACTTAAACATTAATAATATTTGTACATAAGTCAACGATTTCTATCAGATTGATTAGAAAATATCGCTTCTATCCCAGCTTGAGAATTATAAACAGTCAACTTTTAACAAAGATAATTCTCCATGTGAGCCCTCAGCCATTATAATTGATAGGCCTTTAAGCTTACCTATTCTACTCTTATAAGTACTTTATTATTGAACCTGACTTCTTTTGGACAATAAATTGACACGATTGTATGCATCATGTCCCTGGTTTCCAGGTAATCCTTCAGATACCTCATGAATTTTGACCCTTGATTTGACTTTTGACCTGTATAATTTCTTATCATCAGTATAACTCTGTGTTTGGTGATACCATAATGGACCAATTTCTATATAATTAACCTTAAAATACATTTTTCAGGTTGTCAGTTTTGGACAAATTGGATTTCATTTTAATAATTTTATTTTATATAAAGAAAGAAATGGATATCTTAAAGTGTGACTTTTATCCATATTTTTGAAGGGTCTGATTTGTTTATTAAATTTAATGGACATTCAAAATTTCCAAAAAAAAGATATAAGTTAAGTTTTTCCATATGAATGGCCAGTTTACATGCTTTGTAAGAGATATACACTAAATTTTTCAGTTGCACATATCATTAAAAAAATTATTATTTTTCTAAAAGAATTAAAAAAATAAATGGAACAGCTTCAGTAGTAATGTTTGCTAGGCCTAATTGAGGTTTAAATGAAATATGAATATATAATTTGAATAGAAAAGTGATCTTCTTGTGAAGTAATAATCAAGTTATAGGATAATTGTTTAGGATAACAACAGTTTTGGGTGGTCTAGTCAAAAGTTCACTTAACCTTAAGGCTAATTCACAACTTCTATTATCTTGATGGTGTAGCATTGTTTTCTCTTTTTCTTAAAATGGATAAATTGATAAAAATTAACAAACAATCAAAGGTGAGGTAAGATGAAATGTAAAAATAAAATAGAAGATATGAAACTATAAGATAAAAGATGAAAACAATGTAAATTATATGAAATGATTAGAATGGAAAATGAAAGTATCAAAGATTATCATTCTTAAATCAAGTATCCTATTGGTGGCCTTGGGCTGCTTTCTGCCCTTTGATGGGGTTGTTCTCTTTGACACATTCCTTATTCTATTACAATATCAAAACTTAGTGTAAGGATGCATTTAAGGGAGTATAAATTTTTAATCAAAAGCAGGTTACTGTGACCCATGTTTCATGTTTCATTGAAATAATGCAGTTTTATGTCCAATGTCAGCTTTTAGATAATGAATGACTTATAAAAATATATTACCAAATCATACTTCAGTAACCTATTACTCTTTCTCAAAAGTAGGTCACTCTGATCTACATTTTATGCTTCATTAACTCTAATTAAATATTTACCTCAAAGTTCTGTTGACAGATACTTTTACATAGAATCATTCAGGCTTATGCATCTTGAGGAATACAACAGCAGGTCACTCTGACATTATTGACATATATTGATCTTGATTAAGTTGGGTTTAAGCTTTGAGTTTGAGTTTAGTTGTCATATAACTTATTGACATACAATCATAAAACTTGTAGGTTAAGAGCTTTAAAAGCATTACTGCCTGTCATACAAATTCAGGCGCGTAGCAACCCGTAAACAAAAACGCAGTTGCGTACACATCGAAAATTTGACAAAAATCAAAATATGGTTAATCTAGTAAGAATAAAAGTAAGGTAATAAATTTATTTTAAAAGTATTATACAAACATGTTAATAATCACTTTGTTGCCATATTCCTTTCCGGAAACTACTCTTTTCATTTACGGAACCAGCATCGTTCATCGTGAAATTGTTATTCCTTCTTTGTAATTCTGAGTTGGTTAGCAAAATGGACTGGAGATTTTGATGGCATTCCTAACAACTTACAGGAAATATCAAATGTTATAAACAAGGATTTTTACCCGGGATTCTTTAATATACTTAACGTATTTGCATGTGTGCTGGTCTCAACGGAAACGGCAGAACGGTCTTTCAGTACCATGAGAAGAGTGAAGACATACTTGACTGAAATACAATGCAAACCAATCGTTTATCTGGGATTTTTCTATTGAACACATACCGTGAAATATATATATAGTGGGTTGAGTCTGATTATGTAACAATTAAAATATATGGTGGTGGCTCCATATATTTTAATTGTACTTAATACCTACTCTTTCTCAACCCACTAGTCTACACTTTAGAAAAACCAAATTTCTAAGCCAACCGTACGTGTTTGTTTTTCTCTAGTTAATTTTTTTTCAAATTTATCTTCAAAAGTTGTCTTGTTACTCCTGAAAATAAAATTTTCGTGAGGTCATTTTATGTCCCAGGAAATTGTGAGAATGCAGGATTTTGCACCATTTACCCCAGAGCTTCAGGGGGCCTCAAACTGCCCCAGACCCCCTGCCGTAGGACTTCCTTCTCCGGCATTGCAGTACACATCATTTTGGCCTAGCTACGCCCCTGAAATTAAATCATGCTTCATATACTGACCTTTGTCCAATTTTATAACTGAGCTAATTTCTCTTGTACCATTTAACCTATTATGATGATATTAGATTTTGTTTACATGCTTTAGTGCTGAAAACATTATTCTGTGTGTTTTGGAAAAAAGCAAAATGCACTGTTAAGGTCTAAATGTTGTTTATTCAAATTTTCCCCTATACTATCTTCTTAAAAACAACAAGATTTTCAAATTATTAATTACCTTTTCAGACATTACTGAGAGTTTGGGATTGCTTTTTGATGGAGGGACCAAAAGTGCTGTTTCGATTTTCGATGGCAATTTTGAAGATTCATGAAAAGGACATAATCCAGCGATCAGATACTATCAGTGTTATGAGACACGTGAAGGCCAGTGCCAAACTTTCCTTTGATGTAGAAGGTTTGGTTAAGGTAAATAATGGTCAAAATACTAAAAACGGTAAAGGAGATTTTATTCAGAAGTAAATGCAATATGGAGTATAATAAAGTGAGAAGAAAATCAAAATCCATAAGTCTGATAATAACAAGACAACATCATAGCAAAAGAAACAATGACAGGCAGTAATAGTAAAACTTTACACAGAAAACTTAAGATTTAGCAACATGAGCCCCAACAAGACCCTCCAGAAGTGTAAGTAGTTTCTACTCCACAGATGTACATGAGTCAACTTGTTAGATATTATGGAAAATAATTACACATTAAACAAACAGCATGATTTTACAGTTCTTCATCTTTAAGAGTTGGTCTTCTGCAAAGAGTTATTGAAATCACTACTTCACTTCCAGATCAAACTTTAGTAATCATTGTTTATTGATATTCACCAATAAAGGCCACAAATCTTAATATAGAAATTGATTTCTCCAATGCTAAAAAGTTGTTTTTTTATGCATATACAATATACAATGTTGCGCTTATCGATGTTTTCAGGTTTTGAAAACTGCACTTCGAATGATGTATATACCAGAATAATATAATGATAAGTTTATGTCAGTAAACAGAAATTATGACTAAAGTATTCTTGGTAATAATATGCAATCCATTTGTATGTAAAGGATGAAGTTTCACTGCTCTTAAAATGAATTTACCCTATTGTTATTTTTGTTTCAGGTGGCTTTTGAAGGGCAGTTTACAAAGAGAAATATAATATGTACAAAACAAGCCTGTTATTTAAATACACTTAAGGAGAAATATAAAAAGAAAGAGCTACAGAGGCTTGCCTTTACTGAGCGAGAACATCTGGTAAATATTTCATAATATATTAAAACCGAAACCAGTAGTTTTCTTTCAACTGGTCATTTCAATTTAATTTTATTATAGAGATATGTATAATAATGTGAATATTGATTCCAATATTACAAAGATTATTCACCTTGCTTCAGGTGGTTTCAACTTATATTTTCCTAAGTAATACCTCAGCAATTTTGCCTTCAACACATTTTTAACTCTAAAAACTAAAAATCAAACAAATTATTTGGCTTATATGAATTATGTAAGTTTGTTTACTGTGGCCATTGTGTCCAGATTAGGTAAAAAAATTAATTTTTTAAAAACATTTCAAAGGTTTGCCAGCTTTTTCTTTAATGAATGGTTTATCTGATTGATTGTAACAGCTATACCTGTTTATTTTCAGTATATGCAAATGGAGGCAGAATCTGGCAATTTTATGGCAATAGGTACAGCAGTTGTCTTTGATGAAGGTAGGTATTTTTATGCCCTTGTCGTCACTGGAGGGGGCATTAAGTGTTACCCTTGTGTGTCCATACGTCCGTCCCAAAATTGGTTTCCATACTCTAACTTTAGTTTGCCTCAACCAAATACTATGAAATTTATACACAATGCTTATTACCACGAAATACAGATCAAGTTCCAATTTGGGTGGTGTAAATTTTACCGTTCTCGAGTTATGCGCCTTTATAACGTTATATGCAAGTGGGGGCATCATCTGTGTCTCATGGACACATTCTCCATTAATTACATATGAAAATATTTCCTTTTTGTTTTGTTCCATATGTGTATTTTACTTTTCAAGCATTTCTATACTTCTGTCCATTTACCATTATTAGAGAGGTCTAAGTAGTTTATGTGCAGTGATCATTAGCCTATCAAATCTGAGGGTTCGAGTTCAAACCCCACCAGGGCACCTGTGGTGAGGCTCTATATTAATTGACGAGGATTGCCTGCCTTAAGATAGAGGTTCTCTTCAGGAAATCTGGCTTCCTCCATCTGACAAAAACTGCCCCCCAATGATAAGGCTCTGAAAGTGGTGTTAAACAACAATAAACAGACCATTATTAGAATCACAAATTTTCTTCGTGAAGTGTTGGGGTTTTTATAAGATCCTTCTTTTTTTACCTTTATACATTTTGTTCTCATTATTTGTAGGTAAGGTTTGGTATTGCTATGGTGACCAGCATATTGGAAAAGTATGTAAAGTCACATGTGAGGAAGGTCTGATGTTTGATATGCCTGTGCAGGTAATATATTTCTATAACAAATATCTTTTGGGGGTTAACTAAATGTATTTCCTTCTAAATAAATATATTTTTCAGTACCGGTAATTGTTTTTATCAATGACTGCGAGTATAATACTATCAGGGGGATCCAAAGTTCAAGCAAAGTGTGACATAATTGTCTGTCATGATTTCAAAATGCCTAATGTAGTGATGCAAATTTTTTTTTCGGTTTATCCCCCCCCCCCCAAAAAAAAAATCGGACGAAAGAAGGGGCTATGATTGTACTTCTTATAAGAACATCTATGGGGATTTTATGAAGCCAGAATAATTGTTTGGAAACAAACGACTTAAAATTTAATACATATAGCTTGCTTTTATTGATTATAATATACCACTAATGATAGAATTGGTTTCAGAGGCAAATAAATGTTTAAGACTTGAATTCTTTTTGTTTATATTTAAAAAATAACCAGTGTTCTCCCCGGGGCCTTTTTATCATCATGGTAAAGTGATGCTATCTGAAATTAGTTTCTTATAGATTGTGTTATGGATGTGACGCTATAGTTTCTAAAAACAAGATGGTATTTCATAATTTCCTGTTTACCAGGATGATATAAAAAAATTATGAGGAGAACACTGAATAACTATACTTAAATCATTCTTTCGAATTTAACTTTTTATTTGTATGATTTTCAGTTTGACACCAGAATAATGTGTATGTGCAGAGTAAATGCTAACGTTGTCTTGGTTGGTACACTGTCATGGGTTATCTATGCTTACAGTGCAGTCACAAGGTAATTATCTCCCTTTGGGACACTGTCATGGGTTGTCTATACTTACAGTGCCATCACAAGGTAATTATCTCCCTTTGGGACACTGTCATGGGTTGTCTATACTTACAGTGCCATCACAAGGTAATTATCTCTCTTTGGGACACATGTCATGGGTTATCTATGCCTACAGTACAGATTAAAGGTATAGCTAACTCCTTTGTAAAGCACATTGTCATCATGTTATCTCCCTTGAAATTCAAGTTATGGGTTATGAAGATTTATAAGATTATTTTGGTAAAGCATAAGTATACAGCTTGTGACAAACAAAATACAAATTACTAAAAACATTTATATAAAAATGTCTGAATTCATTAATTTCAGAGAATGTTTATGGATGTTTTGTCAATGATTTCAGAGAATGTTTATGGAGTTTACGTCTGAATGATGCCATCTTGTCACTGTGTGTTTACTGTGATGAAGATTCACCAAATATCAGAATTTTTGCAGGGTTAGCAGATGGAACATGTGCTGTTTTAGAGGTAATTACTATGGTATTTTATAGAATGTATATCAATTGTTTTTTTTTAAAGATATCCAATAATCAAAACACATAAAAATCAGCACGGTATTTGATCTAACAAATGTTGAAAGGTTTTTGCACATGTGGCACATAAAATTGATATCAGTATCTGGTAATTTTGTCTTTTCCTTTTTATGCCATCTTTCATTTAAGTCTAGATTTAATTGTATGAAAAATTCAAGTTGGTATACATTTCAAGAAATTTGATCTGTAAGTAAAATGTAAATTCAAAACCTAAAAATATTTTCATACCATTTTTTTCACATTTCTATATTAGCAACAAAGTATCGAGAAGCCAGCTCCAGGGAATGATGTTATGTACATTTCCATTGGTCAAGCACCTGTGGCTTGTCTTCTGCTATTGGATGAAATGCTATGGTGTGCTAGTGGTAACACAGTTTATATTATACATGCAAGGTAAGCGGAATGTAAAAAATCCTCAGTAATGTTAGCCCTAGAGTTCCAAGACAAAATAGATTTTACTTTTCTTTATTCTGTTTGTTTGATGCAGTTTAACATCCTTCCTTTCGTCATTTCTACATTGTCATAGCATTTGTTTTAATTGGTAGATGCAATTAAGTATTACCACTGTCACATATCAGTATTAAAGTGTAGTGTTTCTTTCCATTTTTCCATGACCTATATGAGTGTTACACTCGTAATGCATTGTTTATTGGTTGAAGAAACTGGCACAGGTAGATAGTGACTGACTCCTTAGCACTTTCTTCCATCAAGACTCTTTAAGTTGAATATATGTGCGGTCATAAAAATTTTGAGTATCATTAAAGTACTCAGACTATGACTTCATCCAATCAAAATACTGGATTTGGTGTTTCAAGCACAAATTTTGTACTCGGTGAGTACTGAGTAAAGTTTTATGATCGAGAGCCCAGATATATAGTTTGATCATACTACTGGAAATCATTTATTAGGCCAAAGTCCTTAGATTTCAATGATATACCTTAAATACTGTGAAATTTGGACCAATTTACAAATACAAAGTTGATCCTTGTGAATTATTTTGAACACTATTGGCAGCCTTGTAATTGACATCTGGGGAAATAAGAACATCCTGAACAGTGATGTCCCCTACTGCAATGACTAATGTTTTGTTTTCATGTGTAGAATAGTTATTAATATATTTGCATCATTTAAAAATTTTCATACTGTGGATTCATTTATTTTCTTGGGCACCATTTCATGATTTAGAAAAAAAATGTATCTTCGTGGATATTTGATTTCGTGGTTTGCCAAAGCCTGCCGTCAAGTCCATAGAAAATTTGTGCTTTGTCAAATATTTGAATTTGTGTTTCACCTTAACAAAAATTGGTCTCCCATGAATGATAATGAATCTACAGTATTAAAGGGTAAAAAATGGTTCTGATGTGTCATACCTTCTTTGAGACATCAGAAACACTCTTACACTCTCTAATCCTTGGATGTTTGCTATTAGTTTTCTCTCTGACTGTCATACCAAATTTCTTTATTTTGTGTATTTGAAGACTTACCTCCCCTTTATACAGACATTCAATAATTCACTTTTAATGTATTTATCAATTTTAGTCTTTCGGAAAACATGTAAGACTGTTTTTTTCCTGACAAATATTTGATTGTTCTATGATTTTATGTAGTTGTCTTACTTTAAAAAAAAGTATATTTTTACATATATATTTAGAATAGTACAAATGACTTGAGTATATTCCTATCTGATCTTGTACTTTATTGCATGTCTGGTTCTGCATCCACTAGTTCAAGCATAGAACCTTCTGGATATGATTATTATATATTCTTTTAAATTTTTGCATAGATATTAGTATTTGTGATTTTTGACTTCTAATAGCTCTGGATGTAATCCTTTTTAATTGTGTTGTGCGTCTATATGTTCTGGTTGGATGATAATTCAATATGCATTTCATATTTACAAATACTTGATTGTGATTGGTTTGTTTGAATTTCCTTCCATGGTTTATACACTATGGTAGACCATGTTAGTGACCTGACCTATTTTTATGGCTTATGTAAACACTATATTCATTGGCAATGCACATGAATGGAACCATTGGGTTCAACAAAACAAAATTACGGGAAAAAATTTTAAAAATGCATGTGTTGAGTCATAAAGGTTAAGCACATGTTTTCCCGAGTTTATCAAATTTTGATACATATGAAATCTGTATAGCTAGTATTTTTCCTTACCAAAAGCTCTACATGGAGAAAAATCACACAGTATTTATAAGTAATTTAGAATAATCATACACTTTACTAATACATCATGGAGAATAATCACAAATGACCAATAAATCATGGAAAATTGATTAAAATTGTTCAAAAAGTAAGATCTGCATGAAATATCATAACTAAACATTATTAATATTATTTGTTGGATACCAATTTTCGTGGATTTCATGAGTATACAGGAATCACGAATTTAAATATTCAACGAATTAAAAATTGTCTTTAGATATATAAGCACACTTTAGCAAAACTATGAAATTAAATATCCACGAAAAGATAAGTTTTCCTCAATCCACTAAAATTGGTATCCACGAAAATAAATGAATCCACAGTATTTATTATTGCTATTGTTGAACAAGAGACACAATGCAAAATGAATTTGCAATTTCGGGAAATGCCTCATACCAATAGTGATATCAAAATTTATAATTGGACTTTTTATTTTTGCAAAGCTTATTCAGTTAAACGCCAAAACGAAAACAATAGATCACTTGGCTTTGTTTTATTAACATTTGAAAAAATATAAAACACAATATTTGATCATAATTTTGGAACTTCCATTGTGTATTTTAATGTCTTTTTTACAGAACACTCGATGGAATGGACAATTTTAATGTATCTGTTAATCCATATGATCATATCCTAGCCATGGTGTCAAGTGAATATGGAATCTGGATCACATTGAGAGGGTCATCTATTCTGGAACTGTGGGATCCACGATCACTCCACTGTAAAATGTTGTATGATACCAGAACAGATCGATATCCACAGCTCAGAAAGGTTTGCTTGCTTATTTTTACTTTATTAATATTAAAATTTTGAAAAATGCTGTGAAATCATTAGTATGTGTTTGGTATTAATTATAACAAAATTTGTCAAAACCATGAAATGGAGTATCCACAAAATAGACAAGTTGTTATGCCCCTGCCACAGCGGAGGGGGCATTAAATGTTACCCTTGTCCTTCTATAAGTCCGTCCATAGGTACATCCCGAAATTGGTTTCTGTTCTCTTAGTTTGCCTCAGCCAAATGTTATAATACTAATACACTATGCTTATTACCACAAAACAGATATTAAGTTTGAATTTGGGTGGCGTCACTTTTACTGTTCTACAGTTATGTCCCTTAACAAATAGAAAAAATGTTGAATTTTTAATTTCCGTTCTCTAACTTAAGTTTACCTCAACCATATATTATGGAACTTATACACAATGCTTATTACCACAAAACTCAGATCAAGTTGGAATTTGGGTGGCGTCACTTTTACCGTTCTTGAGTTATGTCCCTTTATAACGTTACATGCAAGCAGAGGCATTATCCGTGTCCCATGGACACATTCTCCATTAATCTTTAGTCTATGACAATTGGTTCCCACTTAAAAAAAATAATCTACATTACACATAATCCAAATATAGAGGAAACATCAACAGTCAGATAAGTTAAACTTTTTTTTGTTATGCAATTACCTCCTAAATTTTATGGTTTTTGCTATAAACCACAGAGATCATAAGACAAACAAATTGATTACAGAAAATTTACTCTAGAAGGAAAAAAAAGAACTAGATATTATGACAGAATCAGTCTTGCATTTGAAACAATTAAAAAGTTTTGAAACTATAATCTACTAACAATATTTCCTTTTAAAAAACTTAAACCAAGGTTGCCAAGTTCTATAGCAGTTAATATGCATATCTTGTCAGGAGCCTGTTATTCAGTGCTTGTCTTTTGTTGCTGTGTAACATATTTGTTTTTCATTCATTATTTTGTACATAAATTAGGTCATTAGTTTTCTCGTTTCAATTGTTTTACATTTGTCATTTTGAGGCCTTTTATAGATTATGTGGTATGGGCTCTGCTCATTGTTGATAAATCTTATTATGGCACCCTCAACGGAGTTGGGGTGACATTTTGTTATTCTACGTTTCTTTTTTTCTTATTATTTTCTTCCACTTTTTTTGTCCAGCTTATATCTTGGAATTCTATGAACCATTTGTTATGGAACTATACCATAATGTTAAGCAGCATGTGCAGATTTGCAATCGGGGTATGGCATTTTCAAGATGGCCGCCGTTACCATGGAAACAGCAAAAATGTCAAAAAAACCAATATGCTCTAAAGTGATTGAAACTTCACACAAATATTGACTGGCATATGCAGATGTCCCATTTGACTTTGGAATTTCCAGAATGGCCGCCGCCACCATGGAAACAGCAAAAATGTCAAACATTTCAAAATGCTCCAAACTCAATGAAACTTTACAATAATGTTAATTGGCATGTGCAGATGCCCTCTTTGACTTTGGAATTTTCAAAATGGCTGCCGTTACCCTGGCAATGGGGGAACGAGGGTGCCATCCATTATTGCTAGCAATTACAAATCTAGTTTCTTTTATCTTTTTGAATTGTCTTAATTTTGACAAAAATGTTTATTTTGGTCTAAGAGTTCATCTGTATTAAATTATTAAATTTAGGTGTTTTTTTTTTTAATTTGATGTTTGTGTTTCAGGAGGATGACACATACTTTAACAGATCAAGGATCACTGCTGTGATGGATATGGGACATTCCGTTTGGATCGGCACAGGGGAGGGAAATATGATGGTATATGAGGTAGCAGAACACATAAACTTTAAAACTCCAACAACAGACATGTCACCATCAATAGACACTCCATCAAGTCTGTCGGGGAAATTGTTTCTATCTCCAAGTCCTAGAAATGGTAGTTCTTTAAGTTCAAGGGGCAGGAGGCGTAAAGATAGAGAAAGAAGCAGAAGTAAAAGTCCACGTGAAAGTATAGCAAAACCTTCTTTCTCAGTAGGAGTGGAGGAAAATACAGGAAAATGTATAGATAAAGTAGATAAAAAGCCACTCAAAAGAAGCCTGTCTAGTGAAATTTCTATTTCTCAATTACAAGTTAAGTCTTTGGAAGTTTCTAACCTTGCTTCTGATACCAATTCAACTGGATCTGTGACCCCTAAAAATGTTTCTCCTCGTTTAAAGCATCTGGAAAAGAAACCAGCTATTGAAAGAAATATCTTAGAAGAACGAGACAGTTCGACTGAAAGTTATGAGAAAGAAAGACGAGATAGTCATGGTAGTGTGATAGAAGTTCGTAAAAATGTAGAAAATGATGAAAAAGAGGCTGATCAACCTGTAAACGAAAATGAAGAGAAAGGAAAAATAGTTAAGGAAATATCTCTTGATTCTGAAGAAGGGGATTCAAAGATGGCGGGAAATGGAGAAGAAAATCAACCCCAAGAAATAAGTCATGATGGGAATCTACAAAATCGACCTACTGACCTGAAGTTAAAGGTCAATAATAGAAGGAATTGGTTGTCATCAAACAAAGGCAAAGGTCAAAACTTCATAGATGAACTAGATATTGCACTTACACAGTTAAATGGTGTAATAGACAAGGCAAAATCAAGAAATGGATGTGTATCCTCGGGTCAAAAGGTCATTGGAAAAGATGAGCTTTTGCAGACAGACAGAAAGGAAGAAACGGAGGAAAAGAAAAGTACACAGAAAAGAAGTGAAGAAAACACACACAAATTTGTTAATGAAAACGGCTATCTTGAATGCAATGGTGAATCCAATTTGGAAGAAAATGTAGCTTTGGAGCAGAAAACTTTGTGCAACTTTGAAGAAATATCTCGACATCACAAGGTCAACACATGGCTCAGTTCGCTTGAAGAGACAGAAAAGTTGGGAGAGTCTGAACAGGGGGCGGAGCAAGATAATAACAGTTTGAATGAAAGTGGTTTTTCTGATTCAAGTATAGCGCAAGATTCAGACAATATGCAATCTCAGAGTTCTAATGATAAATCAGATAAAAAGAATGAACATGATACAGTGAAAACTTCCCCTGAAAAAACAAAGGATTCTGTTGAAAAATTGATACTAACAAAGCAAAACAGCGTTCAGTCAGATAATAGTAGTGGTAAAAATAGTAAAAATAGTGACAGTTCTTCCCCTCGGAGAAAATCAGTTAACTCTGATGAAAGTTCTAATAACAAAGGTTCTAGATTACGTACAAAGAGACTCTCTGAGAGAATGATTGCATACAATAATCGACAAAAGACTATGGAGAGGATAGAATCTGTCGACAGTGAAATGGCAGCAGCTGCTGCCAAAATTGGGTCACATGACCCTGAAGTTCAGTATAGACTTGACTTTTCTGGAATGTACATAGAAACTGATTCTGAAATGGATGGGGCTAGACAATCTAGATCAGATTCAATTAGTGATCTAAGTCTGTTAGAATCTCGTAGACAAAGTGCAATGGAAGAGCCATTTACGCCTGCAATGGATAAAGTATTTATGATGGAATTGAACAAACTAGATAATTGGACAATTGCTAGTGCTAGTGCTAGTGCGAGTGCTAGCAACTCAGCTGTCACCACTCCGGCAGATACAAAAATGTTAGAACTGATGCAAACACCAAGTCTGATGAGCAGACACATATCGGTAAATAAAGTAGCTCGTGAAAGGCTGGACTGGAATGATATAAGTAGCAATAAACTATCAATTACAAGTGCTCGTAGCTCCATGGATTTCAATAAGGTACAAGATTTTCTTCGTACTCCAAGCATCAGCAGTAAAGCTAGCTCTGTTTGGTCAAGTTACGATGAGATATCAACTCCCTCTGTTAAGGATGACGAAGTAGATGCAGATGGTTTCGGAAGACGAATACAGACTTTAAGTGGATTGATTTCTCATACAACAAGTAATTCCTCTCTATGTAGCATGGTGGATTCACTGTATACTGTGGATGTGACATTACAGGCAAAAGTTAAAATATCAGATAAACCTGTGCGAAGCTTTGTCAAAACAAGGTGAGCTAGTGTACAGTATCCAAATTAACTATAGATTTTATTGACATAATTTGAGTTGGAGTAATTTCCCATCGCTACCACGTTGAAGTAATTTCCCATCGCTACCACGTTGAAGACAAACTGGTTGATTTTGTCATTTAAATGACCAAAATTAAAACATCTGGTAAACAATCCTTAATAGATCTTAGTGATGAATTATGCAAGACTTTAACAAATTCAGATTGTTCAAAAAACAACTTTTTCTGAAAGCTAGGCTTCAGTATATCAAGTTAAGTTGGTTTATCATTAAATGAGGATATTGTCCTCCAACATTGGAAGAAAGGGAAATAACTCTTAATTTATGTCAATGGAATACAAATATTTATAAGATAAATTTGACATATCAAATGCAATGTCAATCTTTCAGAGTCGGTGATCCCCCTTTTGAGAAAAAGGCTGGAGGGAGAAATGCTTTAGAACCTATTTCACCTCTGTTTTATTTATAGTATTGTATCTTATGTTTTGAAGTTGTTTCTATAAACATTTTTTTTTAATCAATCAATATTCAAATTAATCAAATTATTAGTTAATTGATTAGCTAAAGCAACATATCAGGTTGTTGAGACATTTTGCATTGTATAAACAAACAATGTTTTGAAAAAATGTGGTATTTTAACAAAACAGACAACTTTATATAATGAAATTATGGTGAAGATAGTCTTGAAATGGAAAGTTTAACTTCCCTCTTAGAAGACAGATCTTTAGATGGAAATTTCTAAAATTTGAAATAATACTTGAGGGCTTCCACTGATACAGGGAGAATTGGCATTATGAGATAAACTTGTATGACTCTTTTATTTTAAGTACATTGTATGACTACAAAAAAAACAATTAACTTTTAATATCAGATATATTGTTGTATGTTTTGTCAAAACAAGGTAGGCTAAAATTGTATCATACAAAAAATGAATATACTAGGAACCAGCAAAATTTTGTTATGATAACAAACTGCACCAATCACCAACTCACTGAAAACAGAAAAAAGACTAAAGGGAACAATGAATTGTCAAGACAGCCTGATTTGGATCAAGGGATAAATTGAATGAGGTTTCCCAAGTACCTAGTTCACCCTTTTCTTTTTTACCATGTTTAATAGAAGTGAAGCATTGATCATTATTTGTTTACTTTCGGTTGGAACCTCATCTTTTAAAATTGTTTGCCTCTTTTTGAATTTGGTTTTATGACAGGTCTTTGATAGTCTTTGCTCAATCTATTCAGGGGCCCAGGTGGCCGAATGGTCTAAGTAGTTCATCTACAATATCACTAGCCTGTCAACTCTGAGTGTGTGTTTGAACCCTGCACATGGCCTCCTGAATAGAGCCAAGTGTGCTCAGAGTGGCATTAAACACTAACAATCAATCAATCAATCAATTTATTATTTCTACATTCAGGGCAATTAACAGTTTGACATAAAGTTTAAAATGATTATCACATGTTTTTTTAGAGCTTGGTTATATTGAACCAGTGGTACAAAATGAATTTGAATTGCAATATTTGTTTGCTTTGGGTTGTTTTTTTTGAAGAAATTGTAAAAAGAAAGTGGACATTGCTTCTAGATAATAGAATGTTTATAATTTGATTTGTTATTTTTTTGTATTATAACAAGTCATATTTTCAGACATTTACCGGTAAGTCTCATCAGCAGTATTAACTAAAATATTAAGGGGTTCCCTTAGTAAAACATTTTCTTTCCTTTATCTATACAAAACATGGATTGGGGAATAAACATACTAGTTTTTCTGGTTTGTGTGATCCACACATGTTTTTATACTGTAGTGTCTACAATGTTATATGATTATGTTTTCAGAAGTTGTGGTGAGCCATGTGTTATAAGCTTTTCTGGTTGCTATGGAGATGATGAATCTGTTTTAAAATGGAGGAAAGAACCAAATGAGGTAATTCCCCTTTTTGTCATTTTATTCTGTATTAGCAGCATTTTCCATACATACTTTGTCTTGTTGCCTAATTGCTTTGTGTGTCATATGAGTAATTTTATTTGTGCAGCATCTTATTCAAACCATTATATATAGTGTTTTGTAGAATTCTTGAAATCTTTTTTTCCTGGTTGTCCTTGAGGAAAATCTGCATGTCCTCACTATATTGCTATTGCAAAATTTTGGTAGTCAAATCCTTTTGTCTACCACTTTTCAAGAACTCTGGTTTTGCTATCATAATACTAGCAAAACATCTTATCACATTTTTGCCCATAGCTGAAAAAATAGCTTCCCTGCTTCTAGGATAATGGGATTGGATCAGATTAAGGCATAGTGGTTTGCTGAATTCCATGCACATTTCCAGACTTACTTCATCATGATTGCTCAGAGTTAAAGATTCAGAGAGCCGAAGATGTATAAATAAATTAAGTATGGGAGCTTCAGCACCTTTGGGGTCTTGAAAAAAATAGCAAAATCATCCAAGGTGAACTTTTTCTAAGGAAGTTAGAGCCTTTTTTCATAAAATGAACAATGTTTATAAAGTTCAGATAATAAATCATGTCTAACAAGAACTACATTTGCTTGAGAATGACCCAGGGGCCAAATTATTTTTTATTTCCCAGCTGTCACCGGAGGGGGCATTAATTGTTACCCTTGTCAGTCCGTCCGTCCATAAGTACGTCCCAAAATTTCCATTCTCTAACTTTAGTTTGCCTCCACCAAATGTTATGAAACTTATACACAATGCTTATTACCACAAAACACAGATCAAGATCTAATTTGGGTGGTGTCACTTTTACCGTTTTCGAGTTATGCCTCTTTATAATGTTATATGCAAGTGGGGGCATCATCTGTGTCTCATGGACACATTCTTCATTTATTTATATTGTTTTTAATATTGTTAATTACTTTTTGTGTGTGTGTTGAACCCCATTTTGTATACATTTATGCAATATTATGAGCACCAGTAATATGGTATCATTTACCTTTGATATGTCACAGACCAGTTAATCAAGTGCACCTTGATAAATGACTGACCTTGATTCCCTAAGTATAGTGGTGTTGGAGAAAGTGTTCATTGATCACAACCAAGTGTACAGCAATATGACAAGGTTGACTGACCTTGATCCCCTAACTATAGCAGTGATGGAGAATGTGTTTATAGATCACAACCATGTGTACAGCAATATGACAAGGTTGACTGACCTTGATCCCATAACTATAGTGGTGATGGAGAAAGTGTTCATGTGTACAGCAATATGACACGGTTGACTGACCTTGATCCCATAACTATAGTGGTGATGGAGAAAGTGTTTATAGATCACAACCAAGTGTACAGCAATATGACAAGGTTGACTGACCTTGATCCCCTAACTATAGCGGTGATGGAGAAAGTGTTCATGTGTACAGCAATATGACAAGGTTGACTGACCTTGATCCCCTAACTATAGTGGTGATTGAGAAAGGGTTCATGTGTACAGCAATATGACAAGGTTGACTGACCTTGATCCCCTAACTATAGTGGTGATGGAGAAAGGGTTCATGTGTACAGCAATATGACAAGGTTGACTGACCTTGATCCCCTAACTATAGTGGTGGTGGAGAAAGTGTTCACGTGTACAGCAATATGACAAGGTTGACTGACCTTGATCCCCTAACTATAGTGGTGATGGAGAAAGTGTTCACGTGTACAGCAATATGACAAGGTTGACTGACCGTGATCCCCTAACTATAGTGGTGATGGAGAAAGGGTTCATGTGTACAGCAATATGACAAGGTTGACTGACCTTGATCCCCTAACTATAGTGGTGATGGAGAAAGTGTTCATGTGTACAGTAATATGACAAGGTTGACTGACCTTGATCCCCTAACTATAGTGGTGATGGAGAAAGTGTTCAAGTGTACAGCAATATGACAAGGTTGACTGACCTTGATCCCCTAACTATAGTGGTGATGGAGAAAGTGTTCAAGTGTACAGTAATATGACAAGGTTGACTGACCTTGATCCCCTAACTATAGTGGTGATGGAGAAAGTGTTCAAGTGTACAGCAATATGACAAGGTTGACTGACCTTGATCCCTTAACTATAGTGGTGATGGAGAAAGTTTTTATGTGTACAGCAATATGACAAGGTTGACTGACCTTGATCCCCTAACTATAGTGGTGATGGAGAAAGTGTTCATGTGTACAGCAATATGACAAGGTTGACTGACCTTGATCCCCTAGCTATAGCGGTGATGGAGAAAGTGTTTATAGATAACGACCAAGTGTACAGCAATATGACAAGGTTGACTGACCTTGATCCCCTAACTATAGCGGTGATGGAGAAAGTGTTTATAGATAACGACCAAGTGTACAGCAATATGACAAGGTTGACTGACCTTGATCCCCTAACTATAGCGGTGATGGAGAAAGTGTTTATAGATAACGACCAAGTGTACAGCAATATGACAAGGTTGACTGTAACAGAATACCTGTGTTACAGATATCTAGGGATTATGTTCTTTTTGTTGTACGCATGATTCCATTCTCATTTTCACCTTCATGAGTTAACAATTAACAATCCTTACAATTTTTATAGTCATAGAAAACATGACTGCTGCCATTAGTGAACAGGAACTACAGACTCTTCTTGAGCACCTAAGTTTACCAAAGTTTTTTGTCGGTTTATGCTCTTCAATCTTTAATTTCCTATGCAATATATTTATGGCATTTGTATTTTTTTCATCAGTTTTTTTTTATCATGGTATTCAAGTGTCTGTCTTAACTTTCATTGCATCATTAGTATATTCCAAAAAAATCCAAGTCAATCTAGGGGTAATGTGAATCTAGTTGTAAAGATGTGATCTTTTAGAATTGTTAGATCTTCAATAACTGCCAGATGAAGAACAGGAATTATAAATACTAATTCTGTTATGTATTGGTAATATAATATGGTATTGTTTGATGGGATTTTGTTCTCACACCGTTTCTTTTTTTTCCCAATAAGAATCATTGGTTTATATATTTATAAATAAGATAGTTCATTGTTGGATTGTTCGCCCACTTATAGGGAATATAGTAATGTTAGCTGGGTTTAGTCTGTCGTAAGACACTATTCCAATTAGACTTAAATTTGTGTTAGCAGTTGCTAAATGTAACTATTTTTGGTATAATGATATTGCAGGAGCCAGCTCATTCAATAGATATTTTCTTCACACATTTTCCATTACTACTGAAGAGAATGACTTCATATTTAGTCAGCAGCTCAACAGTGATAAGTTGGAAAATGTATGTGATTTTGCAATCTGTCAGACACCAACTACCTATTTTTCAATATTTTGAATTAAAAGTTTTGGCACTTTACACGTCAACATGAGCATTCTTTTTAGATTTTAATTTTGTAAAAATTTAACCAAATATAATATTGTCTTTTTTAGCGCTTGTGGACCAATGAACCAGTTTTAGTGATGTGTCCAAAGACCAAACAGACAATTTTACCATCATACATGAGAGGGAGACTGTCCAGTATTTCAAGTGGATCAAGTACTCAGAGTGGCTTTAGCTTTCATAGTGCAAATTCACAAAATAGGATGCATTAGTTATGTAGAAATTCCATAAATAAAACTACAATTGATTCATATAAAGTGCTGATATTAGATTCAACTTGAAGACATTGAATTTAAGTTGATGACATTGAATTTGACTTGATAACATTGAATTTAACTTAATGACAATGATTTAACTTGATGACATTGAATTTAATTTGATGACATTGAATTTAACTTGATGACACTGAGTTTAACTTAATGACATTGAATTAAATTTGATGACATTGAATTTAGCTAGATGTAAATGTGCTGAAACCATATTCCATAATAGTTCATTTGAAAATAATCATATTTGAATATACATGATCTAAGTACATGTATTGGTATGTGTACAATTGAACATTTCATTCCTAACGGATTTAGGTTACTGATTTATTATGGTGCACCTCAGTATCATCATGTGAAATTTGTAGCTGTTCATAATTCTTGGGCATTCTGAAATATGTTTCAAACACATGTTTTATGACATTGCAATAAAAGAAATGTATAGAATTATAAAACGTATTTGTGTGTATTGAGGGTTATATGCATGATTACTGGTAAAAGAAAATTTTGACACTAATGTTTTTTAAGTAAGGTTGTAACTGTGCAATTATATTTTATATACCAATATATTGTATCATATTCTTTACATTCCAATATATTAGATATTTTAACTTTTGTTAAAGAGTCTTCCATATATATTATTATATACCATTGATGTCTTCCAGTTCAGTATACTTGTGCATTTAAAGTAATTATTTTATTGAATAATTAATTTTTTGTTCTGTAAATTTTGATTGATCAGTGCAATTTTTTATAATGTCTGATGAAAATTATTTTATGCATTATATTGGTCATAATTTTGTAAAATTATTATATTTTACACTAAAACGTCTCAAATTATTTTTTTTAACTGGAGTACTAGGTATGATATTTATTATTATCTTATTCTTATTGAATTGAAATAGGCCTATAAAAATTTGAAGTATAATAGCATTTATGACGAGTTTTGCATCAACATTTATTTTATAATTTTGTCTTGCTGAAATTTTCATGTATATTGACATACAAATTATTCTATTGCAAAATTTTTGCATTAATAATGTGAATTTTGTATTATGGCCTCATATGCCTCATATATGAAAAATTGTCAGAAGATGTATGAAAAAGATTGTTGTACATGCATGTATATGTAATTATTGTAAAAAAAAATGGTGAGGGGTCGTTTAAACTTGCCGGAACAATTTGCAATAATTTATGTACAAAGAGGTGTGTATTTTTGTGATGTCTTGTGAAAATATAGAGTCTTTTAAAAAATCTTCTTTTCTTTCAAAATTGCGTTTAAATTTTTGATCTAAACAATTTTTAATGTGTTTGTTTTAGGCCAAAGCTGATATAAAAAAAAATAACTAGATTGAAATAGTTTGTATTTTTAAAGTACGGCTGATAGAATGAACTGTTTAATATTTGACTAAAAATCTTTAAAAAAAATGTGACAGTTAATTTTCTTCTATATTACAGAAACAAATAATTAAAGACTTTGAATACCAATTCATTTGAAGACTAAGGGGGATAAAATCTCAATAAACTGTGCCTTCAAATGTGTATGTATATATAAATATTATGTAAAGAGTTTGATACTAATTTTAGATATGTTGCAATATTTCTAGTCATTCTCATCTTTTTGTAAATAAAAAACAATTGTTGGAAAGATCAAGTTGTTTGATTGTATGTTATTTCTTGTATGTAAGAATGGGAAATAAGCAAAAGTCAAATAAATTGTTTTGTTTTTTTAGCACCAGTGTTATAAAAAAGACTATTTTGGAAGAGACTCAAGTTTTTATACTGTTCCATGACAGATTGCATTTTAACAATTTCATATTTTTTTTTTAAATTTCACTTCAAAATTGCTTGAGATATAGTGAGGAGCTTTTCAGATAAAAAAAATGGAGCCTTCAAATGTTTAGACTAGTGTCTGGGGAAATCAAATTATCCATCTTTGCAGAGGTCAAATATTCAATGTCAAATAAAAACCTCATGAAATTTTCTCTCATCCATCACCCTCTTTTGACTATAGGTACTTTTTTATTAAATTTATGTTAAAACACTGTACCTTTAGGTTGGAAGTCATATCATTTGGAAATTTAAAAGGTTAATGCCTACAGTATTTTTTTTAACTATGTTTTTTTCTAATTTTTTATCAAAGTTTCAAAAAAAAATTTTCAAAAAAAAAGGTGAGCTTTTAAGTACACATTCCAAAAAAATTAAAAAAATTTCTTCACATTTGCTTCCAGTTCTTACATATTTAGATGTAACAAAATGTTGAATGTAAAAGGATAATACTGTGATTGCCATAGATGTGATATTGTTAAAATTGAGATAATCAAGGATCAAAGATGAGGGAAATACAACTAGAAAAATACCTTAAGTAGATTGTTTTTGATTGTTTGTTATTGTTAATTTTTCATGTCCATTGTTATCAGTTAGCAATAAATCTTATTGAATAAAGAACTGTTATTTTTTACATGAAAGGGCCTTAGATTTTATTGTAAGTCTCTGAAATGATAAAAAATAAACGTGAAGGAATAAAATTCAATTTGACAGTCAAAGAGAGGTAAAGGATACCAAAGAGAGAATCAAACTCACATTGCCATGGCAATAAAAAAAAAACGAAAGACAAAAACAATATACAAAACACGACATAGAAAACTAAAGACTGAGCAACACGAACACCATCGAACAAATTGGGCTTGATCTCAGGTGCTCTGGAAGGGTAAGCAGATCAAACTTTGAATTTAAAATAGAGCTCTAGATAGGATTAGAAAATGAACACCCAGCTATGTCACTGTGTCTTCCAAGAATACACCCAACTATGTCACCATGTCTTCAAAGGAAACACCCAACTATGGTACCATGTCTTTCAATAATACACCCAGCTATGTCAACATGTCTTCATATGTCACTGTGTCTTTAATGAATACACCCAGCTATATCACCCTGTCTTCCAAGAATACACCCAGCTATGTCACCGTGTCTTCCAATAATACACCCAGCTTTGTCACCGTGTCTTCCTAGAATACACCCAGCTATGTCACTGTGTTTTCCAAGAATACACCCAGCTGTCACCGTGTCTTCCAAGAATACACCCAGCTATGTCACCATGTATTCCAAGAATAAACCCAGCTATGGTACCGTGTCTTCAGAGAATACACCCAGCTATGTCACCTTGTCTTCCAAGAATACACCTAGCTATGTCACCCTGTCTTCCAAGAATACACCTAGCTATGTCATCGTGCCTTCCTAGAATACACCCAGCTGTCATTGTGTCGTCAAAGAAAATACCTAGCTAGTTCACCATTGTCTTCAAAGAATACACCATCTATGTCAACATGTATTCATTTGTCACTGTGTCTTCCAAGAATACACCCAGCTTATGTCACTGTGTCTTCTAAGAATACACTCAGCTATGTCACCGTGTCTTCTAAAAATACACCCATCTATGTTACCTTGTCTTCCAAGAATACACCCAGCTATGTCCGCGTGTCTTCCAATGTCTCTGTGTCTTCCAATGTCTCTGCGTCTTCCAAGAATACACCCAGCTATATCACCCTGTCTTCCAAAAATACACCGAGCTATGTAACCGTGTCTTCTAATGTCACCATGTCTTCCAAGAATACACCTAGCTATGTCACTGTGTCTTCCAAGAATAAACCTATCTATGTCACTGTGTCTCCCAAGAATACGCACAGCTATGCCACCATGTCTTCCAAGAATACAGCTAACTATGTCACCCTGTCTTCCAAGAATACACCCAGCTTTAAACATAACTCTTACTTAACCTAAACGTTACCCCTAAGCCTAACTTAACACCAACCTTACCCTAACTCTTATCTTTATTCTTATTCTTACCCAAATTTTTAACTACAACCATAAACCTTAGTTGAATAGAATATCGTTGCAGGATTTGGCAACTAAAGTAGAAACATTTCAGTTATTCCACTAGAGCACACATTACTCGCTATCTTATAAGTTTAAATGTTCATCGAAGCGTAATGCATCATTTATCATAGTTTGTCTACGGTCTACATACAAAGGACATCTTCAGTTGATATTAAATTCATCTATAACAGAATTGCACTTAAAACATGTCCTATCATGAACTTCTTTTATTACCGAATAAGACTTATCATCGAAATTGTACTTAATAAACAATACAATTGGTGCCACAAGTGGAGCAGGATGTGTGTACCCTTCCGGAGCACCTGAGATCACCCTCGGTTTTTGGTGATGGGTTCGTATTGCTCATTTTTTAAGTTTTCTATGTTGTGTTTGGTAGACTGCTGTTTGTCTTTTCGTCATTGTGTTTTTCTGCCATAGTGTTATAAGCCTTTGTCTTCGACTTATGAGTTTGAATAATCCCTTTTGAATCTTCGCCTTTCTTCTAGTTTCTATTTTGAACCTGGATCCGCCACTGTGTTGGTTCTTTAAAATTTTATTTTTTGACATACTTTACAGTATGATACACAACTATCGACTAAAAATCAACATTATTCTTCAATAACTCAATACGTAATATTTATTGAACTTTGAAAATATCCTTTGTCATACATCACCTGAAATCATAAAGGATACTTAAAATTAACATGATTTACATTCTCGAAGGACACTTATTATACAATGAGTCCGTTGAAGTAGTTTTGTCAACTTTTTTTTGGGGGGGGGGGGGGGGGGGAAAGGGGGGGGGGGTACTTTTCATTTGATTATAAAACCGATCTTTCCAAATAGTAACATTTTCACATCTTGGTCTATGTTGTGTTGTTTGTTTGCTGTCTTACATCAATAATTGCCTATCTTGATAATAGACGATAAGTTTTATTTTAATAGCATCTTCATTTGAATCGACAATCGACACTATCTACCGTCACTTGCAAGTCCGAAGTATCGAGAGTTGCGATAATGGCACGCACCAAATAATTTACTTCTTGGACAAAGTACAAAAAGTAATTGATAAATACTTTATCTTCGACCGGGTATGTGCCTCATTCTCGAACAAATATCCTGTATTTTGAAGTATATTGCTTAACGCAACTGAAATAGCTTATTTAGACAACGGAAGTAAATCTTGTCGAAGACTATGCTTATAGTGTTGATGGTATGGAATGAATATATCCTCAGTCAAAGCATGGAAGTAATATTTAAAAGGAATAACAACGACTAATTAGCATGTATTAACAGCCTGCAGAGCTCTGTACTAAAGTCATATGATTTATCCAATTATAGTCTCAGCGGCAATACCCCTTTGGTTACTATCTGTGATACCGCGGTTGTAAAATGGCATCTGGAATTTCTTATCAGTCACGTGATTTTATCGAGTCCGGTAATTATAAAGCACCTGTGTGAAATCCGAGGTTTATTAATAAGAAGGTGGCACTGTATCATATAAAACCTCTACCTTCAGAAAGAAGTCGTATGATGTAAAAAACTTGAAAAACGGACGAGAATTGTTCAACCTACAACAGTTTAGCATGGAAAATTGTATTTAATTTAGCATATTTTTGCTTTTTACCGCTTGTTTTAAACTGTTCTAAAAGTATTTTCCGGTTAAAAGCGGATCCCGAGTAAAACAGTTAAATACCGATGAATCGATCAGGTTTCACATGATGTTGAACAAAATAATGTAGACAGATGTAGACATAGAATATTTTACTGTTGAAATGTGCCAAGTTTATCGAGATTTATAAAAATATTTACTTTCAAGTAATTGATTACGTTATTGAAACTGGACAATTAAAATCGGGATCATAAGTTCGTAAACATGTTAAATTTATATCTATTTTAAAAAAGTGTTTACAATTGAATACTAATATTAATGTAGCACGTTACAGCAAAAAGAAAATCAACCATACAAAACGAGCTTGACGCTATCTGTCTAACCGCAAATTTATTTTATATGAATTTGTTTATGTACAAATTAAAGAATAAAAACGTTTAAAATTGTGAATATTTGATTTGCCTGGTATACACGGAAGACTTGGATTATTCGTATTTAATAAAAGGGGGTCGACACATATTTTTTTGTACAATCATCTTCTTAACTTTCAGAAATGGCTTCTTAATTAACTGGTTTTAAGTATTAAAATTGAAAATGATCCACCCTTTTTCTTAAATTCAATATTTGATAACTGTCGGCCTAAACTATTAAGATCGAAAAAGACATAAATAGGAAAAATAGACTAAAATCAACATTGAATGACTGACTCTATTCGGTAGCGTACAGCAGCGGAATGTAACGAGTGAACTATTCGGGTTACTTCGTACGTACATACGACAACAACTGGTCTATTCGTAATTTTCCGGGAACACGAAAATGACCGAAAAGTGTCAGTGATTTGATCTATCACATGCCGAGAGTCAATTACCATGCCATATATTAAACCAATTAACGAGTTATCGGAAGATGGGCGGTAACGTAGATGAAACCTTTGAAGTGACGACGTTGTTATTCCTTTCAATATTACTTCCATGGTCAAAGTGATAACATGGTAAAAACATAATAATGATTCTTATTCCTTTTTCTTGTAAAACTGCTTTAATGTATAATTTGTTAACAAAATCCGTAAGGGGTTCCGCGGAACCCTGTGTCTCGCCTGCGATTGCTGCTGTAGTGTAAACGTGTAATGTTGACTTGAAAGTTCATTTATCAGTAAAATACAGAAGTGTTTGATGACTAAAAAAACTTTAACCACAGACTGAACCTAAATGTTGACGCCGCCGACGCCGGAATCGAGGATCGCTATGTCTCGCTTTCGCGACTTAAATGTCGCAGGCTCGACGAAAATCACTAAGCTCTTAGATAATATTAACTTATAATTTACTTACACTCTTCTCACACATTTTGTCCCACAACAACTATAATGGCATTGATAATGTGTACCATGGTGGCGACACTGAGTGTCACTGTGACAATGAAGGTGAAATGTACATCTACATCCATGTCCAAACATATCATCACCCCACTTAGACCCAGGCTGGATGTGCTGGATGTGCTGGTTGTGTTCCTTTTCTCTCTTTAAAAATATATTCATACTTCTACTCTGTATCTTTTTTGACAGCACTGAGGAAAATAATCATCATAATGTAATAAGTACTCAAAATTGACGTGGAGTCCAAGTCAGTTACACAGCAAGCCAACTATTCAAAGTAAACAAAAGTGACCCCGGGGTCAACATATGCATATGTGTGTGCTATTTGAAACCTACCTATTGAACTAGTGAGAAGGAGAATCACAAACATAACAAAGATTTTATACGACATTTCTATTTGTCTTTCTGTTTATTGAGAAATATACTAGATAAGAATGATATCAAAGTATACTTTGACCTTTTGTATAATCTCATTCATCGCAGTGACCATGCGAACTAAAATTATAGGTGGGCCGGAACTTCAACTAAACTGCCTACTGTTTGCAAGGGTCGAAAATGATTTGACACAAATTCCCTAGTTTTCTTTTTTTATATCTCATTGATAAATGAAAACAATTTTTTTTTCAATTTTTTTTTTTTATTATCTATTTTTAACATTTTGGTTTTCATGTTCAAAAATGAAAAGCCTTTAGCTTAAAACAGGTCTACATTTAAAGTTATATTTTTTAGTGTCTGTATGGTTTTTTTTTTCTTCTCACTGTGAACTAATGATTAAAGATATCGACAGGACTTTACGCTGCTCTTTTCATTAACTAAATGATAAGTTTAAGATATTTTCACAACTATTTTTTGGTTTATGATATTTTCACAACTTTTTTTTGGTTTATAACTATTTCGGAGTTCATGTAACAGTGAGGGACAAAGTGAAAAAGTTTGCCTCTAAGCTTTCTTAAGGTCTGAAGTCAACTAGACACGACCCTACTACAATAAGACTTGTATATAGTACAGTTCTAATTCATGCAACCAATTATAAGCCACCGGACAGTTTCACACCTTTGATTTTGTTTACCTGTATGTTGGTTCGGCAATTTCGCGTTTTTGCCTGACGAAATATCAAATGCGAAGAGGCGAAATGGTGAGTTTTATGTCCAGATTATGAAGTTTTCGGATTTTAGTGCTATTTCCGTATGAAAAAGATTATTTCTGTCATTAAGCGATTATTTTGACTAGCAAATTTTGATTGTTCTATACAACTATGGTACTACATATCAGATATCACGAACTCTTCGCCAGACTTTTTTTTTTAAAATGACAGATCAATTCTAGTAGAACATTTATGAAATATAGTAAGGTCTTTCAGTTGGTAACTTGGGTCTGTACCACGCGAACATTAAGCTACTTTGTGTGGCATCTTAAATACGATAATTGTCAATAACTTCAAAGGATTCGTTCAACGTGTGTCGCCAACGACCCCGGGTGCATTGTCTACAACTGTTGCGCTGGCTTTGTTGTCATGACAGCACGTCGTTTGTGGGTTAGAGCTTAAACTGTTGGACGTCAGAGAAATGGCAAACGTTTTCACGAAACGGACAGGGAAACCTAGATCCACGACGCTGGGAGATTTCTGTGGACCAGAGAAAACAGCTCCACGTTTAATTCCACGACCACATTCTCCAACGAGACTGGCAAACCCACATCCCGTGGGCCTGTTTTACCAACCCATTAGTAAGAATAAAAAGGTAACCACCCATGATACTCTTTATGGAGCCAAAGGCTAAACTATACAGGGTAAATTATTTTCGCGCGAGTTTTAATTATGCTTGCGATTTTGATTAAGTTTTGCTTAGTCTTTAGTTTTCTTCGTAATGTTTTATTGACTTGTATTTGTCTTTTCGTTGTTTTTCTTTTTGGTCATGGTGTTTTCTGTAATTTTTCGACTTACGATTCTTGGTCGCCCGCTTGGTATCCTTTGCCTCTTGTTTTATTGATATCAGAGTTGTGTTTATTTGTTAAGATTTAAAAGCATCTCTGAAGATTAGATCTATTGTTGCAAGGTTCAAGTCTTCTTGCTGACAACTTTTAACTGATATTTTAAAAACAAATTTACAGGTTTAGTCCAACATTTTCTACATAAGTAAATGCCTGTAACAAGTCAGGAATATGACAGTTGTTTTCCGTTCGTTTAATTTGTTTGAGCTTTTGATTTTGCCATTTGATAAAGGACATTCCGTTTTGAATTTTCCCTGGAGTTCGGTATTTTTGCTATTTTACTTTTAACGGGAAGAGTACCGTATTCTATATTATACAGCCAGAATCTTCCTTCTTGATATGGCAGTGTCTGGCATCATATTCTGATCATCTAAAACTGATCGAAAAAGTGTCATATGTATGAAGTATAGGACAAAGATGTTACAGTCTAGGAATGTATCAAATATAATATCTATATGAGGGTATGGTTGGGGTTTACAGAATAGATAATAATGAGTAAAATGTCCAGAATAAATGTCATAGAAAATAAAGGCTAGAGAATCATGGGATGCTGAAATATAGAGAATAGAGAATAATCGGAAAAATAAATAAAGAATCTGACAGAAAAGTGGTATAAAAATAAAGAATAAAGAAATGAAGGACCCCCATCCAGACCCTCCTATATTCATTGTTATTCGCAGCCGGTAGTGCTTCTAATATTTCAATTTGTATAGAGAAACCCTGACCCATGACAGACCCACGACCTTCTCCCTTCAAACGAAATCAGAAAGAGAGCAAATTTTATGTCTTTTTTGTAGAGTTACGGCATTTGGCATCCCAATTTCCAGAAGATAGCCGTAAGAATTCCTGCGATGAAACGTCATACAAGTAAGATATAATTAATGACCACACAATTATCAATATCTTTAACCAAATCGCAATATACTCACGCGGCCTCATTGACGTACACCCCGTATCTCATATATGAGCAACGACAAAACATTATCCAAATATATATATAATTTATATACAGCACAAACAACATTTCCCAAAAGACCATAAAAGTGAAAAGGTATATTTTAACAAAACGACTAGTCAAATGCGTTTTGTTAAAATATACTGTTTCACTTTTATGTTGTTTGTGCTGTTTTTAGACCCATCTATCAAGAAATTTGTTTTGCATGCACACGTATAAAAATTGCGGTTTTTATCCAACGCAATCATAGGTTTGAACGTTGTTTTCAATTTAGACTTGTTTATAATTTATATATATATATACATAAGAAGGCGACTTTGTATGATTGTCAATGAGAAAACTCTCCAACAAAGAGGCGGCAACCAACGACAGCCACACGACTACATGATGCTTTTTTTATTATGATTTAGTCTTCGAACCTAATTGTGCAATTTGTGAACTGATGGATATTTTGCATAATAAAGGGAGATGTGAATATATACTCATCATAATCTCAGGCAACTATAAAGACAAATGACGGGAGGCTAGATATCTTAGGGTCATTGACAATAAGTAGCGGTCCATCTCGTCATAAAAAATTTAAGGGCAAATTAATCAATCACATAATTTCACTCTATTGAACATAATCAGAGAGCGTGGTTCTTTTAAACCAACCGAAAATTTGTGTTTCGGAAGGGGGGGAGGATACATAGAAAACATCTGTCGTACAGCTATTGCATCAATGTCTTTATTTTAATATTTGCCGCTTCCAGGCTTTGATTTGAACATTCATAACAATAGTATATCAAGAAAAGAATATCGAACGAAATAAATTTTGCGATTTTTTTTTTGGCGTAAGAAATGATAAAACCTAGCTTCTAATTAATGTCAGAGCGGTAATAAGAATTATTTAGATTTATAATTGTAGACTGGGGGCTTTCCAGGATTGTTTTGCTCTGAATAGAAAATTTGATACAATTATGTTTCTTTAAATTAATGTCGTCTAATATGTAATTGTTAAATGTATTAATTTATTACAGAATGGGTTAATTTTTGTAATGGACGATACAGCTCACCATACTCAGAAAAAGGTACTGTGGAATTGAATTTTGAATTTTGATTCATTGTTATACTAAACAGTTTCTTGTTCGACTCGAGAGAAGTTTCCCTGCCTGGAAAACACAAGTATATTACAGTGCAAAACTGAAATTACGGTATCCTATTTAGGACCTCCCAAAAATATAATTTGAATTCCATATCACGAATTGTTGATTCGTTATCACAGATTAAATTCGTTATCACAGATTAAATTCGTTATCACATTTTTTTTTTGTAATTCGTGATAATGGTTTAAAATCGTTACACCAAATTGTATAAATCTTGACAATCATCACGATTTATAAAATTCGTTATTACGATTTGAATCCTTTATCACGAATTACAAAACAAAATGTGATAACGAATTTAATATGTAATTTCGAATTACAAAAACTGTTATAACTTGATAATTCCAGAAATTCGTGATCACGATTTGTAAAGTTCGCTATTACGATTTTTATCCATTATCACGAATTACAAAAAAATGTGATAACGGATTTAATTCGTAATAACGAATTACAAAAAAATTGTTATAACTAATCACGGAAATTCGTTATCACGAATTTAATCTGTTATGACGAATTCTTCAATTCGTGTTTATGATTTAAATTCGTGATTTCGAATTCAAATATATATTTTTGGGAGGTCCTAAATGGGCTTCTGTAGTAATAAAAAGCGAGAACTTCTTTTTACAGTAGTAGTCTTTTCACTTTTAGTAATGTTTTATTTTTTGCTTTTCAAATACGGTAAACAATTTTACGTAATACGAAGAACTTGATAATTTCTGATTTTCTATACACTAGTATATCAATCAGCGTATTGAAAATGTAATTTTCGAGTCTATATTTAACCAGGAAAGGCACCAGAAATCATCTACACAGAAGATACCACGTCGAGAGTTAGTTATTGTCCACCGTCGAGGTTTCCCGAACTTAATAAAAACCAGAAAACAACGAGATATAGTCATTCACCTAACAGGGGATCTGGACCAGTTATAGGAATCAGTAAGTAGTCGCCACGAATTTTCTTCCAGTACGCCTGTGTTCTCGTAAATTACTATCATGCTATGTGTATCTATTTACCTTTTGGCTTTTACTGAGGATTCTAGTTTGTGAAATCTTATATTTAAATTTCTCATTAGTTTAAGAAATGGGCTCCCAAGGAAGTTAAACTAATCAAAATTACACTACAAGTTTAAAAATTATATACTAAACCCTACGGTGGCCTATGATTGCTTACTACCACTCATTTTAACTCTGGCAGATAGTTCACACCAAATCTCCTTGTTTTTATATAAACAATGGTCTTGTGGAACCGTGCTTTGACATTTCAACCATAGCGCTTGAAGTTGTCGATTTGATCACCATTGTGACAAAATCAAAGACTTAAACTGACATATTTCCCATTTCTCTGATAAGTAAGGATAATTTTAGGAATAAGAGCGAAGACTGGTTACTGCAGAGTAGGAGCAGTGGTCAATTTGATAAAAAATCATATCTGTCATGAATTGCTTACTTATGATAAAGTATAAGCATAGCGAAAACACAGAATTTATTATAGATTGGAACAAAGGAGTTAGTTATAGGGCGAAATGTCTTCTTGTGAACGGCTATATAAGGTCTCGGTCTGATATATAGCAGAAAATTCTTCTCAGACTAAGACCGCATTTACACATCCTATATGTGAAACATGATTTGTGTACACAAGTTTCATTGTTCATATCTTTGAAATTAAAATAATCAATTGTTTGACATGCACCCAATTTTATATTCAAGTAAATTTTATAACAGCTTGAAATGTTCCAAATTTAACGCATTGGTAATTTAAAATTAATGTTCAAAAATTCAATTAAACTTATTTAAAACTTGTTTAATCATCAGTGTGAACGCAGCCTAATATGATCTATCCCCGAATATACTCGACATTTAAAGATCTTGTTTTCCATTTTCTCATTTCAGTACCAAACCTGAAGCCGATAAAGTATAAACCAGTGAAAGATGACTTTTAAAAGATTATTTCCAAAACGAAGATGTTCAGAATTTATTAGACTGAATAAAAAGAATACATATGTGTGTTCTTACAACTTTTTATTACCCCTTGCAAAAGGTTTGAGGAGGGTCTTGGCCTGTTCCTTTTCTTCTGAATACTCTGTGTTGACGGAGGTCTAGACACCGATAGTCGCATAGAAACTTGAATACTGGAAATAATACTATTCCGTCAGTGGATGCCTCTTGGAATGGCAGTTGATCAATTAACAATTGAATCACTCTGACATACAATTTATCGAGCGGCTCTGCCAACATATTGTGTTAAGGACAAAGGTGCGAATTTAACACCATACATGTAGCCGTCAACAAGAAGTAAATCCATGCAACTATGAACATTCCATTGTACTCTTTAAACTTTTTTTTCAGATAAAGCAATGCTCGACTTCTACCATCCATAATCTCCCTGGGCGAGTCACCCGTACTGGCGTACACACTCCTTCTAAACGACATACACCATATTTTCCATTGTTACTTCCAAGACTATCAATTTCCTATCCTCTTCGCTCTTGGCGGAGCATATGGTCGCCACACGATTTCGCCATCTAACTCTGTCTTTAGCCTTTGTTTCGGCTTCTCCCCAGGTCATGTCAAGCTCCTTCAGTTCTGCTTCAATCGTTCGACGCCAGGTGGTTTTGGGTCTTCCTCTTGGTCTCTTCCCCTGGGGCGTCCATCTAAGAGCTATCCTGGTGATATTGGAAACAGGCATCCTGAGAACATGCCCCAGCCATCTGAAGCGCCTCTGTCGAATTTCTTTCAGAATTCAGAATACATGAGGACTTAGTCATTTCAAGGACATGTTTATTTGAAATACGGTTTGGCCATGAAATACAAATACTTATTTTTGCTACAACGTTAATGTTGGTGTGTCAAAACATCCAATTAACATATGTATGAATGACCATCGTAGTGAGTATGATGGTAAACCAGACCTTCCTCTCAGTTAACATTTGAGATATTCTGATCACTCTCTTGTAGATGAGGCAAAAGATACCAAAAGGATATTCAAACTCATAAGTCAATCTGATAATGTCATTGCAAGATTCAAGATTAAAAAAATCGACAAAAAGACAAAATAGTATACAAAACACAACATAAAAAAACGGAAGAATGAGGAACAGCAATCCCGCCCAAACCCGGGGTGATCTCAGGTGCTCATGAAAGGGTAAGCAGATCCTGCTCTTCATGTGTCACCCGTCGTGTTGAAGACTTTGATTAGAAATTCAAAAACATTGGAACCAGATGGAGTGAACAAAAAGAGAACTGGATGTATTATTACATCAGGGATGTATAAAAACAAACTACATTTGGGATATTTAGATACATTCGCGGTGGATGTACTATTTTGGATAGAAAAATTACTGGAATCCAAGGTTAATTAAAAAAGGGAGAGTCCATAAAAACTGGAAAAAAAACAGTCGCTCGAATATTTCAACCAATGTAACTTATAAATAAGTTTAAACGTCATTTATTCTCTCATATGTTCAAATTGTGAGGAATTCTATATTGGAGAGACAAAAAATGAACTGCGTACTAGAATGACTGTTCATAGGCAGCAAACCAACCATGAAGATTTAACAATCATCAGGTCTAACGACCATTTCCATCGTTGTTCAAATGGACGATTTAAGATATTTCCATTGTATATGGTGAATCGTCAAAATGATTTTCTCCGGAAGAAGAAAGAAGAATTATTAATAAACATTCTCAACACGGGATTAAATGGTAAATAATATTTAATTTTTTACTTAAATAACACTTTAAAGACTTTACTCATTTTTTTAAATGACATTAGTAGTCTCCCTTGTATTTGTTAACGTCATACTATTGTTAACGTCAATCAATTGTTTTGTATAACACTTATGTATACAAGTCACATTACCTGAAGATCTATAAAAGCAGTGAAAGCGCTAGTAAACAGTTGGAAAGCAGGTCACGGTTTGACCCCAAGTCTATCAGCAACAATAGAGTCACGTGACCGTGAAAATTCAGTAAAACTACGGATGAGACAAACCTTACGTTTACTCACTAAAATACCACTGTCATAGTAAAAACTTATTGATCAAAATAATCTTGAATAAACATAGTTTTAACTCGTCAAAACTTACACATCAACTCAAAGTCCTTTATTCTTTATTTTATCTTCAAACTTGAAGTTTGTGTGAAAATTGTCAAGGCTCCTGATCGAAAAATCTAAATATTTTTGAGGAAACTAAAAATGATGGGCTCAATTTAAATTTAATAAAGCATCTCATTAAGACAAACACTCGATATGAATATCTAGGCAATACAGTTTTGGATACGCAAACGTCAAGTTATGTTCAACACGAAGCGGTGGTTTTTTTGACGATTTGTGCAAGTGGTTATCTCCCCTTGATATCACCAGTCAAAAATAAAAACCCACCAAAATGAATAAAAAAGGAGTTTATTTTACAAAAATCAAGAAGAAAATAAAAGAAAGTCGATTAACAACTATGTTATTATAATATTAAGAAGAGATACTTCTCTACTTTTCAGAGAAGGATTACAGGTAAAAATTAAAAGACAAAAAATTGTTAAAAATTAGATCTAGAAACCTAGCTGAATTGATATAAATTAGCCCTGGCTGATGAAATTTACTTTCAGTTTGTAATTTTTATAATGGGATATGGGGTCACTTCTAATGTAACTACATCTAACAATGTTTAATTCAATAAAACATACTGTATACAAAATAATCTTTCTGAAAAAAAATAGTACTGACCATTTATATTTTATATTTTAATAAAGTGGGACCAAGAGTCACAATTTAGTTTCTTCAAAGTAAAAAAGCCTTTTAACTCAAGCCTATGTTTCTTAGTTGAACAGTACAGTACTGCCTAGAAAATATCATACAGAAAAAGGATAAGTTTACCAAAAAAATGACAAAAAATCTGTAAAAAAATAATGCTTAAAATTTTAAGTGAAAGTGACATAATTTTGAATTTTAAAATCATTATTATGTAAAATTCAACTATTAGATTAGCTAGCACAGTAGCCCATGTCCAATTTCTCAGGGTATTTTATAGTCCAAATAATTATGACGTCTTGGAAGGCTATTTTAAACTTTTGCATTTTATAGATTATGAAAGTAAACATTTTGAAAAACAATTGGGGCTTCACCTCTTCAGGTTTCTGTATCTGCTGCTTTACATATTTATAAACAAAGTATTGTATATTTTACCTGAATAATTGGATATTAATTTCAGAAATGAAAGTTGGTATGACAAATCTTGTGCATTTTACTTTAATAATGATCAATGATGATTAAATTTGACAAGATTTTGCCATTTGAATAAATTCAATTTTGTAAGCACACATCTCTAAGAATTAATTTCTTGTTTGACTTGAAAAGCTAGTGTTTGCTCTTATTAATGTAGCTTACTTAGTAAAGAGATAATTGATAAGCAAGGTTTTTAACTTATAAAATATAAATATAATTAACTGACCTTCATTTCTTTTTTTCATATGTTTTTTCCTCCAGAAATTTTCTTTGCAATGCATTTTCTATTGCTATTTTTGTGCTTTTGTTTATCCATAGGCCATCATTAATTTGTCATATTTGCTTCCAGTATAAATGAAATTTTCTTAGACCTATAGTTTCAAACGCCATAAAGAAGAACTCTGTTTGTTGTTTCACTTGTCCAATGTGTAAATTTTCACTATGCACATGACCCTGACACATATTTTGTAAACGTTATATGACGTATGTTGAAAAAGAAAACAATGTCACCGTCAATTTGTGTAGGGGATCAAAAAGGGGGTTAATTACTTTAAAATGGAGAGATCGTATGGAATTGTGAAAAACAACACTTTTTAATCACAATTTCATTCATATCTATAATAAAATCAGTATTTTAGAGTACTTTGGAAACAGGTACAATGAAAAGAAGTTGAACTTTACTGTTTTGAAGTAAAAACGCAGCCAAAACCAGGTACAAATTGACATGACTGGTGGTCACCAAAATTGATGTATAATAGTAAAAAATGATGGCTTCATAATTGTGTAGAAATTTGAAATAGGTAACCCGGTTTCATTTAAGAATTTTAACGTTCTATTCCGTATTTGGATACGCAAACGTCAAGTTATATAAATTCGATGTTTTTGGCGAACAAAAAAGATGGCTGATCATTTTTAGAACGGACAGGATAAAGTAATAGCAAATAAAAGTTATTTTCGACAATGTTTCAATGTCGTATTGAAACTATATTGTTCACAAAATCTACAAACTTTAAAAATCAATTATAATAAAAGCATGACAAGTTGAAAAAAATAGTTTAAACGTCGATTTTTTAGCCGATTTATTTCGCGAACTTTTTGACGTCACCGACGACTGTAGCGCCACCTAATTAATTCCCCCTGCTATTGTTGCTGATAGAGCTTGACGACAACGGACGTTTCCAAGGACTTGCTTTCCAACTGTAAAAGGGATGAATTGAAACCGTTATTATCTTTTATTAAATTTCTTATATATATATATATATATATATATATATATATATAAGTGCCTATAAATAGCAGCACATGACATACAAATCTATGGGAGTGTGGATTAATCAGTACAGAGATTAATTCAATTACACAAATAAAATTATAGATTGCCTAACAATGTAATTTTAACACACTATTTAGTATGTAAATATAAGAATGTTTAAAATATTTACAAAATGATGAAAATAAACGCAATATTTCGCTAGACTAACTAGCTTTATCAAGCGTGCATCTATCCAGGTGAAATCGGATGTAGATGATAAGAAACTTTTGCAGCTCAATGTATATGTTGCACTTGAATTTAGCTGCCTTGAAAATAATACATAATTTGGATGAAGTTCACGATTTTTACAAAATTGGTAGTTGAAGTTAGCAACGTCCATTGGCCAATATTACAGGATAAAAAGGACGATGCTGTGTACTAAATTATTCTTTATCTTTCCTGTATCTTTTCTCATCTTTTTCGTTAAGACC